TCAACGTCCACATCCACCTCCACATCCACAAGCACGAGTACAAGCACGTCCACATCGACATCGACATCAACATCAACAAGCACATCAACCTCTACCTCCACTTCAACCTCAACCTCAAAAAGCACGTCAACATCAACGTCCACATCAACTTCAACCTCAACAAGTACCAGCACAAGCACCTCTACCTCAACCTCCACATCCACATCCACGAGCACGTCAACATCGACATCAACAAGCACATCCACAAGCACCAGTACTTCCACATCAACGTCCACAAGCACGAGTACAAGTACTTCCACCTCTACATCAACGTCCACATCCACATCAACATCAACAAGCACGTCAACATCAACGTCCACATCAACATCAACCTCTACATCAACCTCCACATCCACAAGCACGAGTACAAGTACTACCACGAGCACGTCAACGTCCACATCCACATCAACATCAACAAGCACATCAACCTCCACTGCAACCTCAACCTCAACCTCAACAAGCACGTCAACATCAACGTCCACATCAACATCAACCTCAACAAGTACCAGCGCAAGCACATCAACGTCCACATCCACATCAACATCAACCTCTACATCGACGAGCACGAGTACAAGCACATCAACCTCCACATCAACCTCCACTTCAACCTCAACCTCAACCTCAACAAGCACATCAACCTCCACTTCAACCTCAACCTCAACCTCAACAAGCACATCAACATCAACGTCCACATCAACATCAACCTCTACATCGACGAGCACGAGTACAAGTACTTCCACCTCCACATCAACATCAACAAGCACATCAACGTCCACATCAACATCAACAAGCACATCAACGTCCACATCAACCTCAACCTCAACAAGCACATCAACATCAACGTCCACATCAACATCAACCTCAACAAGTACCAGCACAAGCACCTCCACATCAACCTCCACATCAACATCAACCTCTACATCGACGAGCACGAGTACAAGCACATCAACCTCCACATCAACCTCCACTTCAACCTCAACCTCCACATCGACGAGCACATCAACATCAACGTCCACATCAACATCAACCTCAACAAGTACCAGCACAAGCACATCAACGTCCACATCCACATCCACAAGCACGAGTACAAGTACTTCCACGAGCACGTCAACATCCACATCAACAAGCACGTCAACATCCAAATCCACATCCACATCCACGTCCACGTCCACATCCACATCAACATCAACAAGCACATCAACCTCCACTTCAACCTCAACCTCAACCTCAACAAGCACGTCCACATCGTCGTCGACATCTACATCAACAAGCACCAGTACTTCCACAAGCACCTCAACCTCAACGAGTACCAGCACAAGCACATCGACGAGCACGAGTACATCAACCTCAACCTCAACATCAACCTCAACAAG